GACACAGTTGGTAACCAGGGATCTTTTTAAAAAAAAGAATTTGTTGCTGAAAATTCTTGAGAAAAATAGTTTTATGTTTTGCAGAAAAAAATCACTTTTGTTCATAAAATATGTAGCATGCTCTGAAACACATCGTGTTATGCCCCCAAATAAAATTGTTTGTCTCCTTTCAGAGAAAATATTTGGAAGCAGTAGTTGAAGAAATGTCTAACAGAAATCCCAGGCCCACTTCAGGATATTGAATGTCAGGCCCTAGAATCAGTCATCAAATACAATATGTACAATTAGTTTGTGTGTTTTCAATATACTTCAGTGCAAGGTATTGGCTTTTCATATGGCTTGAACATTTCAATTTCTTATTCTGTATCCAGAAACATCTTAATGGCTACGTGTTCTGTCCTGCATAGCTTCAAAGAAGTGCTGAACAATTGAAATATGTGTTTGATGTTCAATAAAAAGTATTATCCAAAATTGATTCATACTTTCAATCAATCATTGCTTTAGTATAGGGTAGCAGATCAATCATTGGTATTTCACAAGTATTAACACTGCTGACAATCGACTACTTACTTGGGGATGACAATTATCTGACTAGGCAAGCCATGCACACATAATTCTCTCACATGTTAACAAACTTGCTTCATATGAACTCAGCTAATGGTTAGATGTAAATGTACACAGACATTAAGTCCCTGAAATGCAAATATTTTAAGATTTTTTTTCTGTTAAATTGCTTTTAAAATATAATAGAAAGAAATCGAAGATTAAAAAACCTAGACTTGTCTAAGTAATGAAGTCTTGCTACAGAGTTCTGAGATGTTTTAGTTGCAGGGTCTGTATGAGTGAAGGATGTAAGGGTGACACTCAAATATCAGGACACTAGCTCTACAGGATTGATGATGTCAAGGAATTGTAAAATGTGAAGAAAATGGGTCACACAACCTTGCATCGATGCTGACAAATACCGGGGTACATCACTGACCACATCAGTTGCGACAGGGGAGGTGTCCAAGAGTCCTCGGTGACACCGGACTGTGTCCTATGTGCAGCACTGCCTCGACCTGCGCCAAACACAGCCGAACATTCCCAGCCTGTGACAAGATCCCACTGTCACTCAGTCTGACCCTTGACATAAAAGCAAAATACTTCCTGTCATACTACTAAGTTAGGATCAGCACTCAGGCTTATCCTTGTCAGCACCATCGTGGCTGTTCTACTTCAAATGGGAAAATGAAATATTCGTGAAAATTTAACCGTTCAACTGCCCACTATTCGGTATGTATTTTGTGATTTATTGCCTGCCCTAGACCGTTGACTTAAATATCCTTCCTGTCCTTGTGATGTTGTGATGAATGACTGTGACAAAGTCACATTGCCACCAGAAAGAATAACATGGGCAGAAAATGTGTTGATGAAGTCCAAACGTGTGGAATGGCTTGTCTCAAGGGCATACAGTTTTTACATACCGACACATCTATTTACGTCTTTGCTTGACTAGATACATTATGGTGTTCAGAGACATCAAAGTAATGGTGAAAGGTTTTGGAATTATAGTGTGTTGAATAGGATGTTTAATAGGATGTTGTGTTTAGGAAATCTCATCATTTTGATGTTTATGGGAAGCTTGCGTGCAGTATGGCAACATCAGGGTGACCTGTAATAATTAGGTCATGGACAGGCAACCCAGTGGTTGATGGCATGAGCAGAATCCCAATAGTGGACTACAATAATTTTTGGAATGGATTCCTAGTTTTGTATCCCAGAACTAAGGATTTTGTAAGAATTTGGTGAGAATTGAACATTCTCCACTTTCATCCCCTTATTTCAAGCTTATAACGAATATGAGATTATGATGGGAGTTAACTAACTAACATCTAATTACAAAAGTTCAGCTCTATGGGGGTCCATATGGATAAATGAAAATACTTTGTTTGGTGTTTTCAGTTCTGTCTTAATGCTGAGACCTGTGAAGATCCGGGGTAGAATAGGTCTTCAGCAACCCATGCTTGCCATAAAAGGCGGCTAAGCTTGTCGTAAGAGGCGACTAAAGGGATCGGGTGGTCAGGCTCGCTGACTTGGTTGATGCATGTCATTGATCCCAATCGATCGATGCTTAAGATATTAATCACTGAATTGTCTGGTCCAGACTCGATTATTTACAGACCACCGTCATATAGCTGGAATATTGTTGAGTGCGGAACCAACCAACCAACTTAATGCTGAGGTGAAGAAAGGAGGTGCTGTATCCTCAAAACTTTGTATATCAGTTATATGTTTGCCATGAAATAAAACAGTGGTGAAACAAATACATCTAGCAATTAAAGGGACATAGTTCAGTGATGGATTGTGTATGTATTTGGCAGGGAAGGAGAAAGAGAGATTCCCTCTATTTAAAATCAATTATGGTGTACCCCCTTTAAGTAATAAGGCTCCTCCTCTAAATGTTGTGTACTCAGCTGTGATTACAATAAACGTGAAAGCCTTACGGCCACTCATACAAATTGATAGCGACAAAACCCAGTCTTCATCATTTGTTCTGTTACAAAAATGAATGAAAAGTGATCGGGTTACAATGATTCCCAATCTGTATCTCTCTGTGGATCCTACCGAGTTGTTCAGATCACCATCAATGATACATTGCCCGTTGGTGTGCACTGCTGGAGGCGAGGTGTACAGTGTGATATGGCATGGAGATGGTGAACAGTAATGGCTCTATTACTGGAGTCTCGTGTCGATTCATTACCTAACAGACACACAGTTTGGAACCTGCAGTGTGTTGTAGAAGCCATAGTCTGAGTGCTTTGCCAGCAATCAAGATACATTAAAGCTTTATTTTGGTCATGCGCGTTTGACCTTGACATTGATGGTTACGGTTGTCACATGGAAATGTTTAAAAAAGAACAAAGCTGAGTCCAGGTTTCAGTCCAAGGAATTTTTTTTAAACACCATTTTGTCTGCTGACTCCAATTTATGTCCAATTGTCTAGTTTTCAATGATTAATTGAGCAGACAGTTTGACTTATGGCACGACTGTGTCTGAACTTTATAAGGACATGGTTCAGGCAAATTTGTACTTTGATTTGAGGCTTAGTTTTTCTCAAATGGTATGATGTATATAACTCTAGTAGCTTTTTATATTACCCTGCCTACACAAAGAGTGAGTGAGTGAGTTGGGTTTAATGCCGCTTTTAACAGTATTCCAGTTATATCGCGGCGTGTCAGCTTAATGTGGGAGGAAAGCCCGAAGTGATGCAGGTCTTAGACGTTTACCACTTCGGTGAAACCCACGAGCACTGGTATGGTGCTGACAAACCTAGAAACGTAATTGGGGCGAACCAGGATTTGAACCCACAATCATAGGTTTCTGGCGTGCCCAAGGGACGCAACTCTGCACAGCGAATCACGGCGCCTTAGACGACTGGGCCACCCGTGGCCCCCCTACACAAAGACACTGCCTTAGTTTCACACATGTCATTGATTAGGAAATAACAAACTGTCTGTTTAGTGTAACGCTATGGTAATATGGAGACAACCACAGCAAGAAAATATGACAATTGACAAAGTACTATACTCTCATAATAAGCTGTAAGAGGGATTGGGCTGTAAAATGGTCTGTTGCAATCAGAGGCAGTTATAGAGATTTGAAACCTCTGGTTGCCCAAATTAAATTAAGTATTTTACAAGATCATTTAGATTTACAAATAATGGGCAGTCCAGAACATGGAGTGATCGTGGAACAAAGTCCCTCTTTAACACTGGAACTGGGCATGAGACTGGGGGAGAGGGTTCAACACTCAGCAGCCTCCCAGTTGCCTATTTACAAGTCATATTAAGATATTACATGTACAAAGAATATTAAACTATGCTTGGCCCTGAAGAAATACCACACATGGACATTTGGGATAAGTCTTTATGTCATATAAATTACCCTTGTAGTTTTTTAAAGTTAAAAGTATATTATTAAAAGTGGGCTTGTGCCCATTGATAAAAGATTATGATAGTGTCACTACGCTGAGTATGTTCATGCATTTATATGACTAATGGTCTATGATCAAACAAAGTAAATGCATGTTTTGTAAACCTTAAATGTGAATTTTATATCACTCATGCAAATAAACAACTATGCAAAAGAAAGCATATACTTGAAAATTGAATTTTATAATTTTTTTTACAAATTTCATTGCTGAAACACTGCAGACTTAAGGTTCAAAACAGAACTATGATACCCGTATCAAATACATCACCATAGAATAACCATTTCTTGTTTGTTTCATTTTTAGCCACCATAAAACATGGGTTTAATGGTTCTGTTGCCCGGCAGTTTGTAATGCCCGGTAACCATAAATTAACACAGGTTCAGCCCCAGCTACAATATTTATATAATATAATATGTTCTTTATGGTTCATGTTTTTTACGTGTTTTGCTGCTGAAAATGTAATGGTGAAAAGCAAATTTCTTCGGGATGATAAAGTAGGTCTAATTTCTGTTCTGTTTTATCTGATATATTTACACATGGGCTGAGAATTGTCATTTATTATTATTCGAATCTGTCCAAGAAACACTGATGCAGGATCATTTATCATGTTTATGATAAAAAAATCTATTTTATCAGTGTTTTATCTTTGTGTTACAGAAAGTATCAGATACCATCAACTCTGGGGAATAACCTTTGCTTTACTGCAAACCTGCAGGACATTTTATTTCTTTGATCAGAACTCTGTAAAGCTGGTGATTTTCCACAATTTTCCAGAAACTCTCCTTCAAAAAGGAAATAAAATGGTAGTGAGATAGTCATCCTCTAATAGATGAAACACGGAGAGTGATAACATATAGGGATACCCCCTAAAATGCCTGGATATTCCACAAGCCATAGCGTTATTCCTAATGTTAAGAAAACTTACTAAGGCTACCAGGTTAATACCGATTTACATGCTTGGTAAAATCTTTAAAAATTCTTCAAATTGCATAATGTTTGTCTGTAGAATCGGTGAACAACTTACCTGACTTGTTTTTCTCGGTGCTCCCACTATACCCACTCAGACAGTTTCCATGGTCATGTGTCAGTATGGAGGACGGGGCAGATGTGTAGTGTCATACTTACACTTCCAAGTTACAATTGAACACAAAGTGTCCCTGTTATATGTACCAGTTGGTAATTGAACTACCTAAAGCAGCTGTCATCTTGCGTGATAAACGGCGGCAGTGGTTTGGTGTTTTATTCAATCAATACTGCTCCATTTGGCATCACGATCACAGCAACTTTTGGCCTGGCCATGCCCCGTGAGTACTCCTGGCACAGCTGTAGATCAAGTGATAGAACTGTGTCATTGGGGGAAGCAGGGAGTTGTTTCACATTTTTTCAGAGTCATCGATGGCTTGTGGCTGTATTGAGTGGTTGGTGATGCACATACCGTAATCGTTCTGTTAAAACACACATTTGTGTTGCTTGATGGAATGAGTGTTCGAAATAAAGCATGAACGTTAAGGGGTCCTTGTCATCACCTTATAATGTCGAAGTTTCAGATTTAGGAGGTCACTAGATTTCAAAACTAAAACAGAAAACCTCAAAGACTCAGGTACCCTGGTATTTCTCAGATATGGCCTACACATGCATAGGGCACACAGGTCACAAATCAGGTGACGGTAACGTTGGTCGTGGAGAGTGTGACCGTATTCAGCAGCTTGACTCCTAATGGTTCTAGGTGTAGCACATGGAGGACATGTGTTGTCTCCTTAGACTAGTGACATTGTTAGAAATATGCCTCTGTTTAACCAGCAGTGAATGGGTACCCGGTAGGGTGAGATGGTAATGTGACTGTTAACTTCTAGCACCTCACAGGCAGCTTGGATTGTATACTCCCCAGGGTGAGGAGATCGGAAATTGAGTGCACACTGATCCATTGATCAGTGTAATATTAACAGCGTTAGAAATTGGCACTAGTCCTATAGTCCTTGCCAGACTGTGCAATAGTTAAGGTATCATAAGGACAAGTAGAAATTGTCATTTTTAAGGGTTTTGCTATATGTTATCATTATAAGGACTAGTGGCTAAAATTGTTAGTTTCTATCAATGATTAATATAGTACCATGAGCATCTACTTGAGTGGAATATGGAGCATTATAAATAGACTTATTATTGTTATTATTATTATGATTCTTCTTATTAAGATTCTTCTTCTTCTTCTTCTTCTTCTTCTTCTTCTTATTACTATTATTATCATGTGTTGAGTGTTCCTATCATCAGAATACTTATGGTAAATACTGCAGCCCCTACTTACCTTGTGGGTCTAATGGAGGTTCAAATTGTTGGTATTGTTTGAGCTATGAGGTAACAAGAGTCTATGTAATAGGACCGTTCTATCAATATATGCCATTATTGTGCTTCATATCAGCTGTCCCATTATGTGATAACTCATTGACCAAAGAGGTTTGTGATTTGTTGCACAAGTTTATGTGAGCCTCCTATATTTGACTTTTGTAAGGCTTTTGCTCTTTAATTGTTGAAATGAATCTGGTTATTGCTGTCACAGAAAAATTATAAATAAGATTTAGCCTTAATTAATCAATTACTATTATTAAATTACACAAATAAGATGAGGGAAAAAATCTTAAAACGTTACACCGGTTTGAAAGTCTTGAAACTATTTGACAACTACCGGTACTTCCGGCTCTCTACTCACGGATGTTGATTGTTTTACCGTGTCAGCTGGCTTGACATTCTGGATCAAGGCGAGCGTCATTTCGACTTTATTTGCAGAAAATATTCAACTTTATTCAAGGAAAACAGATACAAATCATGTTTATGTATGGAAATAGTTATTGGAACAGTTATTTAGGATGAAATGCGAAGTTTTATTGTCAAATGCTGGGCTGGCTATCGAATCCAGTTGACATCGCCAGTGGAAGCTGAAAGTGACACACCTGGAAAAAAACGTGAGATCTTCAACTCTGTGTATAAGACGACCCCCCTTCTTAACCCCCTCATTCTAGGTACGAAAAACTTGCCTTATACACAGCGATATACGGTAACTGAAAATGCATTCTGATTGTGTACAGTGCAAGTTTTCCTGTGTTGTAAGTCTGATTAGGAAGATGTTTTAGGCGACCTTATTCCTACCATACTATGTTCCAGGGTAGGATAGGGGCGTCGGGGTAGTCTAGTGGTTAAAGCGTTTCCTCATCACACTGTAAGCCCAGGTTCGATTCCTCACATGGGTACAATGTGTGAAGCCCATTTCTGGTGTCCCCTGCCATGATATTGCTGGAATATTGCTAAAAAACAGCATCAAACCATACTCACTCACTCACTCACTCACTCACTCACTCACTCCAGGGAAGGATATATCACTTGTACCCCATACTTGTTGTAAGAGCCTAAGGAAATGAGGGTTTAGTAGTTGCTATATATTATGTGTGGTGTCTGCTCAGGCCAGTGACTTTGTCAGAAATAAGCCTCTGTTCACCCAGCAGTGTACCCAGTAGGATGACATGAATGTTAACCTTCTAGTGCCTGATAGGGAGCCTGGGTTGTATACTCCCCAGGAGGTTGAGAATGACATTTGAGAGGACACAGATCAATTGGTCAAGGTAATAATGGTGTACCGCTATGACCATAGTGACAGGTAGAATTTGGCGCTATAGAAATGTATTCATTCTTCTTCTTCTTCTTCCTATTATCATTATGATGATTATTTTCATTATTTTTATTATTTATTATGATGATGATGATGATGATGATGATTATTATTATTATTGTTATTATTATTATTCACCAGACATGCATACTGTGAAAGAAGAACTCAAGACAATTTATCGATTCCTCAAAGTGTCCCCACATTTGAAGGTCTATTCAGAACCAGAATTGACAGGCTTTCCTCACATTGATTGTCTATTGATTGCTGTTAATAATACATTCTGTTTAACTAGTCTATACTTGTGTTGTTGTTTATTTACCAAATAGACAGCCCTGCTTGACCCCGAATGATCATTTGTTAGAGCACTGAGTGCTGTTGGTTTTCCACATCCTGACATATTGACTAGTCTGGCTTGAAAGGATTCTCTCTGTACATGGTTTCTCTCTGTACATGGTTTAAAAGGATATTAAACTTTTAACAACGTGAGGACAGAACATATCCTGTGGAAATCCATGTATATTTATGGCTTATTATTTCCTCAGTATGAAAGTCATAACAGCGCTATAGGACGATGTACACTACAATATAATGGTATATATGATAACGCTTTATGATTCTATATATGACAATACTGTATGATAGGGCTGGGACGAGTCCAAATTTACTACCCGGGTGCCCACCCTACTATTACCCGACCCTACTCGGGTACCCAACCCCCTGTAGTCTCAAGAGACAAATTTTTTTATTGGGAATAGTGTGACCATAGCCCTGGTAAAATGTATTTAGATACAAGTATAAACCTATCCATTGGGATCGCTATTAAGTAAGAGACTTCTTTCTATAGGCATTAAAACCTATTTTGAGGTTTTACTTTCCAGTCGGGTTAAATCTCATAAACAGGGACGTTGTAATGTCCCTGGGATTTTATATAATATCCCAGGGATTTTATATAATGTCCTGGGTATTTTATTAATATAACTTCCGTTCAGATTGTAACATGTAATGAAATGTAAAAATCAAATGACAAATGTTTTCTTTATATTCCCGAGGATCGAACTTGCAACCTTGGTTTTTCCCTCTCCCCAGGGCATGCTCTGTTTACCAAAACCTTGTGAGCGTGTTTTCTCCAATACGTATAAAACGATCTGGTCATGCATACACTGAAGTTGACTGAAGTGAACTTTATTCAAACATATAAAAGTATGAAGGAATGGGTGCAAAGTCAAAAAGAAATGTGAACATTAGTGACTTGTAGTGTAAATAAATTTTGTCATTAAACAATATATCATGTGACTAACCACGGGTCCGGGTAGTCCTGTGGGTGCCCGGGTTCTTCTCAGTGTACCCAAGTTACCAATCCCAGCCCTACTGTATGATGTTATACATGATTCCACTCTGTGATGAAGACAGTTTTGACATATGGTGTTCAGCCTCTTTATTTTTTCAATGTGATGTTTCAGGAGAGATGCTGGTACCTCTAGTACCTTTTGTATAAGATGCACTTTGATCATATGAACAAGATGAGTTGATCAGACAGTGAATTATCATTGGACATGTGTGTACTTTCAGGTGGCCTACACTATCTCCAGGTGGCCAAACCCAGCCTTCCTGTCCCACTGGATGTCCACATGGCTCAGTCTGACTATGTAAGCTTTATTTATGTTACCACTAGCATGGTTAGAATATGGACCTTGCAACCTTGCTTGATGGATCAGGTGGTCACAGTGACTTAGCTGCCCTGATTCCTTGACTGGTATCCAAGTCAGATAGGGTATTTGGAATACACACATTTAACCAGACATTTATCCGCCATGTTTTTTTGATGCCACGATTATAGCCACACTTATGAAAACATATAATTCATACAGTTTTTGGCGAGGTGGCAAAAATGGCTTCAGAAAAAATTAAAGAAAGTTTAAAAAAGTTATGAAGGAAGGAACTTGTGCACATCCCTCACCAAAATGCCCTAAGGTGTCCAGTAATATGTATTCTTGCCTCATAGACTCAGGAGCACAATATGCCCTCAGTGCTGTATGCCCCAAGTGCTCTTTGCCCCCAGTGCTTTATTCCCCCATTGCTCTATGCACCCAGTGCTCTATCCCCCCAGTGCTCTTTGCCCCCAGTGCTCTATGTCCCCAGTGCTCTATGCCCCCAGTGCCCTATCCCCCCAGTGTCCTATGCCCCCAGTGCTCTATGTCCCCAGTGCTCTATCCCCCAGTGCTCTATGCCCCCGTGCTCTTTGCCCCAGTGCTCTTTGCCCCAGTGCTCTATGCCCCCAGTGCTCTTTTCCCCCAGTGCTCTATGCCCCCCAGTGCTCTATGCCCCCAGTGCTCTATCCCCCAGTGCTCTATGCCCCCGTGCTCTATGCCCCCTTGCTCTTTGCCCCAGTGCTCTATGCCCCCGTGCTCTTTGCCCCAGTGCTCTATGCCCCCAGTGCTCTATGCCCCCAGTGCTCTATTCCCCCATTGTTCTTTGCCCCCATTGTTCTTTGCCCCCAGTGCTCTATCCCCCCAGTGCTCTATCCCCCCAGTGCTCTATGCCCCCAGTGCTCTATGCCCCCAGTGCTCTTTGCCCCCAGTGCTCTATGCCCCCAGTGCTCTATGCCCCCAGTGCTCTTTGCCCCCAGTGCTCTATCCCCCCAGTGCTCTATGCCCCCATTGTTCTTTGCCCCCAGTGCTCTATGCCCCCAGTGCTCTTTGCCCCAGTGCTCTATGCCCCCATTGTTCTTTGCCCCCAGTGCTTTATCCCCCCATTGTTCTTTGCCCCCAGTGCTTGGAAAATAAAAAAATAGAAAAATCAGTTTAAAATCTAGTCTGGGAAATCTAGTCTGTTTTTCAGTATGAGTATCATCATTATTTGAGAGAATAATATCTCCTTAATAGCAGCTGTTACAAACTGATACTGTCTGGAACATCTGTCACATTGTGTTAATGATTTAGTCGTGGGCCATTAATTGGACAGTTACACTTGCTTTGTCAATCCAATACATGCTATATATAGTGCTTTTACCATCACAGTAAATATGTCAAATGTGGTACACATTTAGTCCTAATCTCATTAAAATCAGATCTTAGTTTTCATTACCGCTAAACAAAGATCTGAGGACATCACATTACAGGTCACGTCAGAACGACCTTTCGTGAATTTTGACCGACCAATGAAATGACTGACAAGAAATCGACATTGGCCAATCAGAAGGCAGCTTTCTCGAGCTTCGAAACATATTTTGATGTATTCTCGATTAAAAAATTTAAAACTGATAAGAAGAACATTCTGGAATGGCTTATAGATGGCCTAGATTGAATGGATATAATCATAAAACCTGTAACTGTCGTTGGGAATACCCCGTGTTAAATATATCGTGGTTGTATGATTAGAAAACACATTCCAACTGACACTTTCATGATCTGGTAAGTGACGCTCTGATTGGTTGGATGAATGGTCGTGCTGACGTGACCCGTATTGGGATGTCCTCAGATCTTTGTTTAGCGGTAGCGTGAACTAAGATCTGATTTTAATGAGATTGCATTTAGTCCAGGTACGACTGAAGCATGACATGCCCTTCAAAACACTTCATATTTGGTCCTTTAAGTTTAATGGCCAATATGATAAAATGTTTAAATATGGCTAAAACTGTTCCAGATGGAAGTCAGTATAAAACATCTCCAAATTTGTATGTAGCATTGCTCTGAATAGTAATCTAATCAATTCACTGAAACATATGTGTGAAAATCTGATAAAATCGAATGAAAAAGGGGTACAGATGGCCTGGTAAACTTTGCTGTGCAGTGTTGCCTCCCTTTGTGATGCCTGGATCTTCTTTCTCTCGGGGGCAAGTCCATGATTCACTCCAGTTATTTTCCTTGGTCTGTAAGCACAATACTGTGCTCATACGGTTTTACAATGTGAAAAAGCTGGGCTGTCTTCCCATATTAACCTACATGATGTATGTGAGATACTAACACCAGGCATTAAACCCAACTCACTCACTTACAAAACAGCTCTGGTATGTTTACAGGGCCGTGAGCTGATCACAGGGGAGGTGGGTCCTGACGCCTGCTACTTCCGTCTGCATCTGAACCAGTACAACACCATAGAGACCATCACCTGCCTCTCTAAACAGGTACATTGCCTATACAAGGGCCGCCATGTGTAGTCAAGTGGCCCTGATCATTGATAAACAGTTGATATAAGATATTATTACATTGTATGTGCACGAGTGCAAATATCACGCGCACCAGTGTGTTGTTTACATCATGTGGACGGCATTGTTGACATCCTTCGAATCTTATTGTGACGTAGGGTCAGAATGACATCACACTAGAAATGATGTCATAGCTGAAGATTGTTGACTTCATACGATAATTGTGTTTTTCTAAGACGGTGGTCATGATCAATGCATTTTTCCAAAGGGGACCAAAAAAAAATAATTAAGAAATAATAGGTAATAAAGAAATTAATGTACTTGCATGTGTGTCATACTGATTTTACGAAACTCCTGTACGAATTCATGTATTACCCTTGCTCCCAATCATGAAATACACAAATTCTGACACTCGTTTCGTCAAAATCAGTATGACAGACAGACAGACGAGTATAATATTCTTTATATCTCATCCATGTGGGTTGGTTATGTTACCCAGTTAATTGAAGTTAGTATTTAGTAACAAGGAATACTTGTAAAGAAACCACTATAAGTGTGTGTGGAGTTATGTCCTTTAGATGCCACGATCCGATCAATATTGGCATTTCTTTTTAGTCCCTGATATGGTCCCTACTGATGATTGTGGGTTTAACAAAATACAGGATATCTACCATGTGTATCACTTCATGTATTTCCCTGACATCGTGATGTGACTGAAGTGTTGGTGAAAGCAGCATCACTCACACACAGGATTCAGAGAAACCTTCACTGTTTAAATCTTGTTTCCGTATTCGATGTAATAAGCGCCCAGGGTGCTCTCAAAATTAGATATAGGAGGCTCTTATTAGAATATTATTTTGGTGGAATTGAAAGATAAATTTTGTGGTTTATGCTGACAGCCTGATATGTTTATAAACGACAGATATATTTTCCAGAATTTAATTGCCCATAATTAAGGGTGCATGTAACACATGAGTGCGTATTATACGCGAATAAATAAGTCTTGTGTACACTGATCAATCGGAAGGAGTGCTAATTGGGATTGTTAACTAGCCAATATATTAGCAACTATTAGAGCAGGGTGCTTATTACGTTGATTACGGTATTAAGTTTTGCATCCCAAATAACCCATGCATTTCAAACACTTGCTATTAAATTGTACATACGACAGTAGTGATTTCTGAATTTGAACTCCAACCTGCAGCTGAATCTGTTAATTTGCTCTCTCCACAGCCTGTGCCAGCAAGCAACTTGATATGTCTGTTTGGTATTCACGAACGTTATCTCAACAACATGCTGTCCAGGTATGAAGAGGGCCTAATCAAAGACTTCTACAGGTAACTATTCAGCCTCACAGTCCCTCATCCATATTATTTCCCCTTCCACCCAGCCCTTACTCTAATGCTATAGCACTAAATGAAGCAAGTCTACATTTCCCCTTCCACCCAGCCCTTACTCTAATGCTATAGCACTAAATGAAGCAAGTCTACATTTCCCCTTCCACCCAGCCCTTACTCTTATGCTATAGCACTAAATGAAGCAAGTCTACATTTCCCCTTCCACCCAGCCCTTACTCTTATGCTATAGCACTAAATGAAGCAAGTCTACATTTCCCCTTCCAGCCACCCTTTACTCTAATGCTATAGCACTAAATGAAGCAAGTCTACATTTCCCCTTCCAGCCAGCCCTTACTCTAATGCTATAGCACTAAATGAAGCAAGTCTACATTTCCCCTTCCAGCCAGCCCTTACTCTAATGCTATAGCACTAAATGAAGCAAGTCTACATTTCCCCTTCCAGCCAGCACTTACTCTAATGCTATAGCACTAAATGAAGCAAGTCTACATTTCCCCTTCCAGCCAGCCCTTACTCTAATGCTATAGCACTAAATGAAGCAAGTCTACATTTCCCCATCCAGCCAGCCCTTACTCTAATGCTATAGCACTAAATGAAGCAAGTCTACATTTCCCCTTCCAGCCAGCCCTTACTCTAATGCTATAGCACTAAATGAAGCAAGTCTACATTTCCCCTTCCAGCCAGCCCTTACTCTAATGCTATAGCACTAAATGAAGCAAGTCTACATTTCCCCATCCAGCCAGCCCTTACTCTAATGCTATAGCACTAAATGAAGCAAGTCTACATTTCCCCTTCATCCCAGCCCTTACTCTTATGCTATAGCACTAAATGAAGCAAGTCTACATTTCCCCTTCCAGCCAGCCCTTACTCTAATGCTATAGCACTAAATGAAGCAAGTCTACATTTCCCCTTCCAGCCAGCCCTTACTCTAATGCTATAGCACTAAATGAAGCAAGTCTACATTTCCCCTTCCAGCCAGCACTTACTCTAATGCTATAGCACTAAATGAAGCAAGTCTACATTTCCCCTTCCAGCCAGCCCTTACTCTAATGCTATAGCACTAAATGAAGCAAGTCTACATTTCCCCTTCCAGCCAGCCCTTACTCTAATGCTATAGCACTAAATGAAGCAAGTCTACATTTCCCCATCCAGCCAGCCCTTACTCTAATGCTATAGCACTAAATGAAGCAGGTCTACATTTCCCCTTCCAGCCAGCCCTTACTCTAATGCTATAGCACTAAATGAAGCAAGTCTACATTTCCCCTTCCAGCCAGCCCTTACTCTAATGCTATAGCACTAAATGAAGCAAGTCTACATTTCCCCTTCCAGCCAGCCCTTACTCTAATGCTATAGCACTAAATGAAGCAAGTCTACATTTCCCCTTCCAGCCAGCCCTTACTCTAATGCTATAGCACTAAATGAAGCAAGTCTACATTTCCCCATCCAGCCAGCCCTTACTCTAATGCTATAGCACTAAATGAAGCAAGTCTACATTTCCCCTTCATCCCAGCCCTTACTCTTATGCTATAGCACTAAATGAAGCAAGTCTACATTTCCCCTTCCAGCCAGCCCTTACTCTAATGCTATAGCACTAAATGAAGCAAGTCTACATTTCCCCTTCCAGCCAGCCCTTACTCTAATGCTATAGCACTAAATGAAGCAAGTCTACATTTCCCCTTCCAGCCAGCACTTACTCTAATGCTATAGCACTAAATGAAGCAAGTCTACATTTCCCCTTCCAGCCAGCCCTTACTCTAATGCTATAGCACTAAATGAAGCAAGTCTACATTTCCCCTTCCAGCCAGCCCTTACTCTAATGCTATAGCACTAAATGAAGCAAGTCTACATTTCCCCATCCAGCCAGCCCTTACTCTAATGCTATAGCACTAAATGAAGCAGGTCTACATTTCCCCTTCCAGCCAGCCCTTACTCTAATGCTATAGCACTAAATGAAGCAAGTCTACATTTCCCCTTCCAGCCAGCCCTTACTCTAATGCTATAGCACTAAATGAAGCAAGTCTACATTTCCCCTTCCAGCCAGCCCTTACTCTAATGCTATAGCACTAAATGAAGCAAGTCTACATTTCCCCTTCCAGCCAGCCCTTACTCTAATGCTATAGCACTAAATGAAGCAGGTCTACATTTCCCCTTCCACCCAGACCTTACTCTAATGCTATAGCACTAAATGAAGCAAGTTTACATTTTCTAGAGGTTCTGAATCACCCATCTCACTTGGGCTCCTTTTCAATTTAAATGTAGTTGCTTGTTTGTTCAGAGACTAAGTGTTAGTCTAGTAATTGTTGTGTAACTGCCTTTGGTTATACCCGGCATTGTCTTCCAGCATGCACTAGCCTACCTCATTTGTTGCAATAAGCACAGAATTATATTATTAATCAATATTGACATTATTACAGGTAAACGTTCCCATGATGTTAATGATATATGTGTGAGATAATTGTTACTTCTGCTTCCTGGATGAGAGATGAACATCTTGCTGTAGATTATTGTTATTACAGAGAAGGGTCACACAAAGATCACCTCTAGTTTCAGCAAATTAATCAGGGGGACCCCATGGGTTTATACTTGTGACACCACAGTGCAATATTTATTCTAATGGGAACAAAATGGAATGAAATAAACATTGAACCCAAATAAATATTGTTTTTCTAATCCAACCAAGTGTGACTGTTATCTCTGTGTTGAAAAATGAAGAATCAAATATCATTAAAATACTGATGTTTTTCATCGTCAACCCTTCCACAGCACACAGTTTATTGACCCAAAATAAAATATGGTTTTATGATCAAATCAAGAACAGCTGTGTTGATTTTGAGTAGAAAAAGAAGAAGAATAGAATGTTATCAAATGGCTGTTGTTTTTCGTTATCAACACTTCCACAGCGTACATTTATCATAATATAACCTCATCGTTTGTCTGGCAGCTATTTCCAGCAGTCCTGGAGCATGGCTATCTACCACGACAGATTCCCGGACTTCCGGGATGAGATCCGAGAGCTGCTCATCACCAGTCCGGTCAGTGTATACTTTGTTAAAGACCTTTTTGTGTATTTTTGCCTGCGTGATTTCTTAACCCTGTGGGGGCACGGGTGGCCCAGTCGTCTAAGGTGCTGCGATTCGCTGTGCAGAGTTGCGTCCCTTGGGCATGCCAGAAACCTATGATTGTGGGTTTGAATCCCGGTTCGCCCCAATTATGTTTCTAGGTTTGTCAGCACTATACCCGTGTTCGTGGGTTTCACAGAAGTGGTAAACGTCTTAGACCTGCATCACTTCAGGCTTTCCTCCCACAGTAAGCTGACACGCCGCGATATAACTAGAATAATGTTAAAAGCGGCGTTAAACCCAACTCACTCACTCTTAACCCTGTGGATATATTCTGGTGCGGAATAGATCTCAAGACCTATGCTTAATATGACAACTTATGACATTGGGATCTGCACCATTAGTGATGGCACCAATGAAGACTCTTGTCAACCATTGTTTTACTAGCTCCAGGTCTCATTACACTCAGCTGTAACTGATCTACCTACAGTGAGGGGCGGTCAGGTAGCCTCGTGGTCAAAGCATTCACCCGTCACGCCGAAGACCCGGGTTTCATTCCTGACATGGGTACAATGTGTGAAGCCCATTTCTGGTGTCCCCCACCATGATATTGCTGGAATATTGCTAAAAGCGGCGTAAAACCACCCTCACTCACTCACTCTACCTTCAGTGTACACTCACTCACTCACTCACTCTAGACCTTCCTAGTATTGTGTGGGTATTGTTATTACATAATATGGTCTCTGTGGAATGTCATTCCTCAACATGCCCAAGACCTGTTTTCATCCAAATGTTATAGTGAAGTCTTTTTATGTACTAACATATCGGGGGGGCACGGGTGGCCCAGTCGTCTAAGGCGCCGCGATTCGCTGTGCAGAGTTGCGTCCCTTGGGCACGCCAGAAACCTATGATTGTGGGTTCGAATCCCGGTTCGCCCCGATTATGTTTCAAGGTTTGTCAGCACCATACCCGTGCTCGTGGGTTTCACCGAAGTGGTAAACGTCTGAGACCTGCATCACTTCGGGCTTTCCTCCCACATTAAGCTGACACGGCGCGATATAACTGGAATACTGTTAAAAGTGGCGTAAAACCCAACTCACTCACTCACTCACTCACTAACATATCGGAAAAGGATAACCCTGCAATAGTGCTTGATGAACATAGAGTTTAACAGACTTCACAATGGCTGGTCTTCCTCAGTGTTTCATTATGACCCTACTCGTATCATAGCATCTTGTCTTCAGCCTTCTTGCTCCAATGTTTAAAAGAAGTTGATAGCATTATTTATCCAGAAAGAAGAAATGTCTCACTTAACGTTTACAGGTTTTCTTACAGAGGGGGACTGATTTAGAGGTTGTCTTGTGATGCTATGCTTTTGTCATGACTTATGTTGCCTGTGTTGAATCTGGGTCATATAGTTCCCCAGGTCATTAAGCATGTTGAGAGGGCAATCCAGGGATTATCTAGACCTGCCCAGAGGCTAATATTCTGCCTCAAGTCTACAGCAAATGTCAGTCGAAATTACCAAATTTGAATTATAAATCTCCCAATTCATGTAATAACTGATAAATAATGTTTTGGCTTTGTTGAGGAACCTGTATTTCACTGATAACAGGGCCAATAAAGAGGAAAAGGTTTAATGATTAGTTTTATATTATTGCATTGAATGCCATCTCAAAATACAATGTCAAAGTATCTTTGAGTTCAAGAAAATAAGAACTTTAGAAATATCCCAATTTTGAAAAAATAATGGGTTTTCTTTTTTTTTCTTTTTTTTTTGGAAGCACATAGTTAAGAATTCCAGATAAGTCCCTGAGATGAAGATGGTAGGTCCCATTAAAAATGCAGCTAACTGTGCGTTATCTTCCTCCAACATGATGGACTATTCCTGCCCACCACTGGTTCTACTGGCTCAGACTTCATTACATACAGGCTAGCATGACATAGCTGGAGTAGTGCTGACTGTGGCATAAAACAACATTCTCTCACTCCTATCTTATGTGTGTTTGTATATCGTATGCAGGAGGAAGCACTGGAAGCCCTAGAGGAGAAGGTTCGGATGGTGGTTGATGATGAAATATCGGTGAGTAAATTTCAGTCTTAAACTTTGAGAAAAAAAACCACCATCACCATTGAGATACAGATAAAGGTTTGGTTGATGATGGAGAACTGGTTGTTGGATGCGGGTCAGTGTTTGAAGAGAATCTGTTTTTGATGAAATATTCTGTGGGAGTAAGACTAATAATGATAAACTCTGTTATCCATACATGAGGAAAGATGGTCTCCTACAGGAGAAAGTTTGTGTAATATTTTGTAAATCTGCAATACAAAAATGTACACTTTCTAAAGAAAAACATCTTCTCACTTCCACACAAGACCCTAGGATGTCGAGGCTGTTATGGATGTAGGTAGAAACAGTTTAAATCTGATATAAGACTTGCTAGCCCATAGTTATAATGAAAGAATTGGATTTAGAGAAATGGAAATCAGTATGCCATATTTAAATTTCATGTACCATGTGTGGATTCTGGGTTAAAATAGGTCCGCAGCAACCTATGCTGGTCGTAAGAGGCGACAAGATGACTGACTTGTATAAAGACAGTCTGTGTTCAAGTTTGGAAGTAACTCTTTTCGTAGTACACAATGGCTTTGTGCAGGATAATAATAATCTTTGTGAAATGGATATAATTTGTATCCTGTAGGTCCCCCCAAATGCATGTTGAAATATTAAAAAAAAGAAATATTACACCAGTGTGGACGAGGCTTCTCTTTGTATGACAGCTGAACAATAACTGGTTATGTACATCAGTATCATCAGTGGTAGCAACTAACGTTCATTTGTCCTTGCAATGATAACATATAGCAAAACACTTAAAGATGCCAAATTTCTACTAGTCCTTATGATACATTAACTATTGGGCAATTTCACAAGGACAACAGGACTAGTGCCAATTTCTAATGTTGATTATGTGAGGTGGCGGCAACAGATTGCATTTAGCATCCCAGCACTGTTGCCTGCAGTCACCGTTAGGCATTGTCGAACTCTGCAATTGTAAAATAGCTTGCCGGATGTAGATGCATCATATACCAATATGCTTACGTTACCATATGTTCTTACGTTATATGTGCTTTGTATAATGGGCTGGTGGCCCATTTACTAAATAAACTCATTGCACGCAATAACATACACGAATTAATAATATTATGATGGATGGATGGATGGATAGGTGGGTAGGTGGATGGATGGATGGATGGATGGGTGGGTTGGTTGGTGGATGGATGGATGGATGGATGGATAGGTGGGTAGGTGGATGGATGGATGGATGGATGGGTGGATGGATGGATGGATGGATGGATGGGTTGGTGGATGGATGGATGGGTGGGTGGGTGGGTTGCTTGATGGATGGATGGATGGATGGGTGGGTGGGTGGTTTGGTGGATGGATGGATGGATGGATGGATGGGTGGGTGGGTGGTTTGATGGATGGATGGATGGATGGGTGGGTTGGTGGATGGATGGATGGATGGATGGATGGGTGGGTGGATGGATGGATGGGTGGGTTGCTTGATGGATGGATGGATGGGTGGGTGGGTGGTTTGGTGGATGGATGGATGGATGGATGGATGGATGGGTAGGTGGATGGATGGATGGATGGATGGATGGATGGGTTGGTGGATGGATGGATGGGTGGGTGGGTTGCTTGATGGATGGATGGATGGATGGGTGGGTGGGTGGTTTGGTGGATGGATGGATGGATGGGTGGGTGGGTGGGTGGGTGGGTTGATGGATGGATGGATGGATGGGTGGGTTGGTGGATGGATGGATGGATGGATGGGTGGGTGGATGGATGGATGGATGGATGGATGGATATGTCAAGTTTAAGTAGAGAAGGAATATTTTACAAATTATGTAATACACTATAGGGACTGAGTGAGTTATATATATGATATTACTAGTGAGCTGTTGTAGCAATATGACGTGAAACCTGCTGCTCATATAAAAATGGAGAGGAAAAAATCTTAAAAGGATTATGTTTTTCTTGTTGCTGAATTCAAGATTATGTGTTCTCCACAAGAAAAGTGTACTCAACAGCAAGACAGTAGGTTACAACAGGTTAAAGGAAAAGACATGCTTTATTAACTGACAGGAAACATGGCAACATATTCACATAAGTTCAGATCAAGACATATTTAGATTCTATAAATTTTATTTCCATCCTACTGACAAGGATCTTTCACAAAATAGATTTCAGCAACCCATGCATTTTGTAAGAGACGATTAACAGGATCATGTGGTCAGACTCACTGACTTGGTTGATGCGTGTCATTGTATCCCCATTGCGTAGATCCATGCCCAGGATGTCAATCACTGGATTGTCTGGTCCAGACTTGATTAGTTACAGATCGCCATCATATAGATTGAATATTGCTGAGTGTGGTGTTAAACAACAAACAAACAAAAAAATCTGTAAAACAAGGAATAAAGATTGTCTGGCCTGAAGATGAAAGTCGATATTAATGTTGTTCAGTGATAGCCTATAAACACGCACCAGCAACACATATTTCATTCTGTCATATCTAATTCATATTCATAAAACAAATGTTTGTGATATTTTGTCATTAATATTATTTTATCGGACCTGAAATCATTTCTATCTAGATTCCAAATAGCTCTTCATTATGTGCTAAATCAAGCAGTTTATTGAGTATGTGACAGTGATGAGTGTGTGATTGACAGCTAATGACATGGTCGCCCCATTAAGATGCTATCTGTACCAGGACCACAGTGAGATAGCCCCTGATGATATACAATCAGAAGGTTAAGTAGATCCATGGAGGAAGGGAAAAAGACAAATAGTTATTGACCTAGTTGGAAATCTTATCTGTTGATGAAAGGTTTTTGGAGTGCCTTTAAGGTAGATGTCGACTAGGATGGCAAGACGTTCGGTTGATTGCTAATGATGGACCGATGACATATATGTTTTGGGGCGCAATAATGTGAAAAAAGCAGGCTATTAACTTGACTGTATTGGAATGTAATATTACAAAGAATAAATTAAGGTTATTTTGAAAACATCCTGACATTCTGAAACAGTGAATCATTGGTTCGAAGTAATTTCACTTTGTATGCAGCAGTTATGTCTGGACGAAGGGTTTTTTGAACAGGGTATGTACTAATGAGGTGTCTTTGTATCTGTAATGATAGAAATTACTTATTAAACAAATGGAGTTACTATTTCTATGCTTTATCAGAAAGTAACAATTATTTAGAATTTAATCAGATTATTTGTTAACGCAAGGATGGCCTAGTCGTCTAAGGCACCGCAATTTGCTGTGCAGAGTTGCATCCCTTGGGCGCACCAGAAACCTATGATCATGGATTTGAATCCTAGTTCTCCCTGATTATGTTTCAAAGTTTGTGAGCACTGTACTCGTGGATTTCACCAAAGTGGTAAGCGTCTTGAGACCTGCATCACTTCGGACGTTCCTCCCACATAAAGCTGACACACTGTGATTTAACTGGAAACTGTGCTAACATTTTGTCCTATTAATGATAAGCTTATATGTACTGAAGGCTAAAAAGTGCAACCAGGATATCAAATATTATATGTAAGGATGTAATATGTAACTGTGGTGTCAGTATGATCTGTGTCTTGATACTAAGGTTGTCATACAATATATATTTGATATAATTCATGTGACACTTAGTTTAAGGAGTAGCTATCCATCTTTATAGGGAACGACAAGATCAAACCCAAAAATTTTCAGGCAGGAGTAAATTTTCATAATTCCCATGAAAACCCTACCTCTATTACATCATTGCCATAATCCTATACTGTCACACTATCAAAATCTTTAGATTTTCAACAGAAATCTTCACCATCGGGTATCCATATAATCAGTGGTATGGATAGTAGTCTGCCATTGCTCAGTTCTCTTTCACATGCGTGAGGCAGAAAGCCTTACTTCTTTCCTGCGTGTGCCAGAGTGACCATCTGAAACAAATTCTGAGTATTCTTGCACACTTTGGTAGTTTGTCACACTGTAGTTAATCTCTATTGTCAAAAAATATTCAGGTAGGATTACATGTTAATTATTGTCCCCCTGGTATGTAATATTGGAGAATATAGTAATCTGCTTGTCTGTCCGCCTGTAATCATTTTTTGTCCGGACCATATCTCTAAACTAATAGGTATTCGTTCATGAAACTTTGCACACACAAAGACCAGGACGCAGCTGGTGCCTTTTGCTATTTATTGGTTTATATTTTTTCTGTTTCCATGGCAATAAGTTTGACTTTGACTCTGGTCAGACCACAGGATTGTCTGGACATCTATTCACCAGTGAAGGTAGCCAAAGTAACAGAGGGGAAATGTTTGAGTAAACATATATATCTATATTTCTATTAGGCTGCAGGATATAAGATTTCTAGTTTAATGTAAAAGTGAGCTTCAGTAACTATAGCTCAGTAATTATTCTTGTATAACAACAGACAGATTAGATAGGAATACCCTCAACAAGTTGGACAGATCACTCTCGTTGGACTTGCTGTAACAATCAGATGATTTGTTCTTTCGAATTTGTGGGGGATGGAGGGAAGTGTACTCTTCCGATGACGCCTGTTCAACAAGATATGATAAGGGTCCTTTCTTTTTTGGCCAACAGGATATTCATTATTTAAAAATTAGCAAAAGCCTTCAGAAATTGTTGTGAAAGTTGGTGGATGTGTTTGTATGGAAGAGAATTAGAGAATTCATTTCAAAACTTGCATGTTGATTTTCGGATAAGATGTAGATAAACTAGTAAGAAATATGGTAAAATATCCAGATCTCTGACTTACTCATGGTTAGATTTTCTCTCTTGAAGTTGGAACAAATGTCCTTTTCCGCTTGTAAATGTTAACTATTTATATGAACTTGATCATGTCACTCACTCATGAGGTTCAGGTAGGATTTTCAATGTGGCCTCCATCTTAGCAGTGAACATCAATATCATGCTGTGACCTCCAATAAGAATTATCATGAGTCCCTGGTATCAAAGTATGGACACTGCAATAACTGGCTGTTTTTGAAGAAATACTGACCTGCTCAACGTATGGCCAAGTGTGCTACAGTGTCAAGGTACTATTTTGGAAAATAAAATACAGTTGACAACTGTTGTAAATTCCGTTTTTCCTTGAGATAAAACCTAGAATGTATGGTGTGTTTGTCAGAGCACCAGTCCATTGTCTCCCCTGTCAGTCGATCCTCTCATTACTAGCAGAATGTACAACCACTGGTAATGCTCTAGAGGCATGACTGTTATTTGGCCCAAGTTCTCCTGCAAGGAAAACATACCCTACCCTACTGTGAGACTGAGCTTGTCCAGGAACACGGCTTGCCTTGAGACACTGTCTGACCCATTTCCTGGAGGTCCTGGAGTTCCAGAACTGGACATGCCACTTTAAGTCATGTCATGTATGCATATTTCATTATCAAGCCAACATTGTTTCATTTAGGACCATGTGGGTTTCAGTTTGGTACAGTTTATTCCAAGGGTGTGATGATGAAAAAGATCATTTTAATGTGGTTTTTAAATTCAGCATTTCAATCTGGAATCTCAGTTCAGTTCTTGTGTCAGAGAAAAGAAGTAGGGGCATTTTTCTAGTGGTTGGTATGCCAGCTGTTTTGTTGATCATGATGAGTGGTCTTGAATGTAGGTCTTATCAATAGGATAGTTACATATCACAAAAGACCATCAGATGAACATGCCGCAGTATTCTGTATTTGCCAGTTCCCACAGTCACTTCAAGATGACTATTGTTGTTCTTGGTGAAATGTTAAAGGTTATGTCATTCCTGTGTCAAGTTTAACCAAGGTCATTGTTGGGCCCGCAATATTTCTTTAGTTTGTTATACATGGTTTCCATTTGCAAATTTATTTTATAGTATTAGCAGTATGTTGTTGACCTGTATTCAACGTAATAAGCGCCCAGTGCGCTCTCAAAATTAGAAATAGGGGGCCCTTATAAGAATATTATTTTGGTGGAAAAAACCCAGAGTTGAAAGATAATTTTCGTGGTTTATGCTGACAGCCTGAAATGTTTATGTACGTCAGATATATTTGTCTAGAATATCATTGCCCATAATTAAGGGTGCATATAACATATGAGTGCGTATTGTACACGAATAAATAAGTCTTGGGAACATTGATCAATCGGAAGGGGTGCTAATTAGGATTGTTCACTAGCCAATATATTAGCAAATACCGACATGGGCGCTTATTAGAGCAGTTCACGTTACTTTTGGCAGTGAGTATATATTACTCAAATGAGTGAGTTAATATTTAATGTCGCATTGGCAATATTTCAGCCAAATAGTGACACATATAACTCAGAACAAAGTTATGGTAGTGCATGGGTCCAGGGTTTATGTCATGTTAGAATAGAGACAGTTACCCAGGATAATCATGGTTGTCCTTAACAATCATAATAAGCTTATAAAAAAACTACTGAAAATAATTAAGGACCACCCATTCTTTCATATTACAGCCCTGGTATATGGCATGGCAGATTAACGATAGTAATATGAAAGAATTGGGTGATCCTTTAATTTTTTGAGTTGTATATATGGATACTACCATTCTATGCCGATGTTTCATATTAATTCTAAATGAAGATACAATAATTAAAAATACAGCCCCCACTTTATATATACCGTATTCGACATAATAAGCGCCCAGGGCGCTCTCAAAATTAGAAATAGGGGGCTCTTATTAGAATATTATTTTGTCGAAAAAAACAGAGTTGAAAGATAAATTTCGTGGTTTATGCTGACAGCCTGATATGTTTATATATGACAGATATATTTTTCCAGAATTTAATTGCCCATAATTAAGGGTGCATATAACACAAGAGTGCGTATTATACGCGAATAAATAAGTATTGTGTACATTGATCAATCGGAAAGGGTGCTAATTGGGATTGTACACGAGCCAATATATTAGCAAATATCGCTGTGGGTGCTTTTTACGTCGAATACGGTAACTGACCCAATATGCAGAGCATGGTTTAACCCTTCTGATATGCATAGTGTAATTGGTTTGTAGATATGTTCAACTGAACATCGTGCTGTCATCAGCCACAAAACTTCCAGATACAAACTGAAATGTCTGGGCAGCTAAACTATTCCAGCGCTAGACATCAATCAAACAAAGAGTCCCTCTCTGCATAGCAGTGTGTGAGTGGCTGTGTCTCTATCAACACATCCTACATTGGTGAGCGCAGTATCAGTTGTTGAAGGCTTGTAACACAACACTTGGCGACCAGTGGTCTCATGTTTGCTGTGTAGTTTGGAGATCCCAGATTAAAACGTCACTAATAGTTCAATCAGCAAGTGGTCAATCTATATTCGGGTTTGTTCTTCGCCCCAGATTGATATAGTGCAGAGAACAGCTTTGCTTTGTGTGGAACATGAATAATCATTGGTTATGTTAGGCTCGGTGTTATATTGGCTCTAGTGTTGCCAAATATTGATGTGGGACGTTTTTGAGAGGACTCCACCTGGGACGTGTCTTGTCCGATACTGCCGACCTGTATGGCTATAATATTTATGGATGGCCATTGTTCCCATACCACTGTGGGAGTGTTAGATAGTACTTTTTTTTAGGAAAGGAAAAGAGATTCTGTGCAAGCATTATGATATATATACTAAAACATAATGAAAACATTAACTTGAAATCAGAAAAGATGAGTTTTTGTGCTCATCAAATGAGATTTGAACCTGTATGACGACATTTTTGTGTTTGATTAACTCCTGTCTAGTTACTGAAAACAACTTAATTTGAGTTTTGTGGCCGTAGTTCAAACAACATAAGTTAATCTGTCATAGCATAACGGGATGGCTGGCCTGGTCGTCCAAGGTGCCACACTTTACTCTGCAGAGTTGTGTCCCTTGGTCATGCCAGAGACCTATGATATTTAAATGTGAAAGAATCTATTGTGAATATTGATTATGACTTTTACTGAACCGTATATATAGATTATGGAACTCTACCTATATTTATGAATTATGAAATTCAACCCTATTCAGTCTGTCATAAAATTCTACTCAACATTATGGTCTATCTAATTCTACCGAACATGTTGCAAATTGTGTGTTTCTTAATTCTACCTCATTCTGTGGTTTATTAAATTTTCCCATGTTGTCTTTGCAGATGTCCAAGACACAGCGCAGAGAGTTGCTGGAGGCGTATGCCGGGACGGGCGCCAAGCGGGCGGTGGAGACACGCCTCCTTAGCTTCATCAGCTACAACTACTACCACCTCCCCATGTACGCCAAACCGGGGATGGTGTGAGGCTCCCTCCCTCCCTCTCACACACACTGTACCACTGTAACATAGACATCCATCATACATCACTGTTGTTGTTTATACATGCTGCTGTTGTCCAGTAACTTTAATCATGTCATGATGTTGGAGTTTTTGTAACATTGATTTGATATATTTCTCCTGTTTTGGCAACAAAAAATGCATTAATATATTGATATATTAGTGAAATTATCTGACATTCTGTTAAAATCAGTATTTTGTTAAAAGAAACAAATTAATAGATTCCAATTTAATGACAGCTGATATATTGAAATGTTTGTGAAATTATTTGCTAAAATCAGTATTTTGTATTAAAAAATGGTTTGCTTGACAGATTAGTATTACCGTATTCGACATAATAAGCGCCCAGGGCGCCCTCAAAATTAGAAATAAGGGGCTCTTATTAGAATATAATTTTGGTGAGATAAAACAGAGTCGAAAGATTGTAAATTTTGTGGTTTATGCTGACAGCCTGAAATCATATAAAAGAAGAATCTGTGCGTATTATACAAGATAGACATATTTTCGAGAATTTAATGGCCCATAATTAAGGGTGCTTATCATACACGAATGAATAAGTCTTGTGTACATTGATCAATCGGAAGGGGTGCTAATTGGGATTGTTCACTAGCCAATATATTAGTAAATATCGCCGTGGGCGCTTATTAGAGCGGGGTGCTTATTACGTCGAATACGGTAAGTTTAATCAACCAGATGAAATTCAGTTATGAACAATCTCATGGAGGACCAAAGTTGGAAGTAACACTGTGTTGGTCCATGTTTCTATTCACACCTACCTATATACATCCACTCTTGTGCTGTGTAGGTATAGTGAATGTCATGACAGACCTAGAAAGGTTTTGTGTAGATATAATCATAGTTTTGAATGCACATATTTGTCCTTGATACTCCTATGATTATCTCATACATGTTTTACATTATTCACAATGATATACCTTATCAGTTTTCCATCCGTTGACTCTGCTGGTGCTGGCTTGTCATTGCACGGTCGTAAGCTGCAGCAGCTTCATTGATGTAGGATTTGACTCAGTGACTTCAAGCAGAGCCGGAATGGAGAAGATGAAGCATGTGCTACCGTTTGAGTTTTTGAAACAAAAACAGAAGGAAATGTCATTCTTGACTGACAATGTAATGACCATATTGAGAGAGATTTTTTTATGAATGTTTACATGAATTAAGTCGTAATGAAATACCACTTGTATTTCTTTGAATTGTAAATGTAAAATATAATATGATATATAATATATAAGTACTGTGGTGTCTGTACCTATTCTACATGATCTGTGGTATTCACATTAGTAAACATTCCAATACTCTGTGATATGTTATGTAAATAAAAAAATGTATTGCGTATTTTCATATATATTTTTTATTGCCACTGAGCGCTCGCTCGCTCACACTCACTCACTCACTCACAGTGAGTGAGTGAGTGAGTGTTTTAACGCCGCTTTTAGCAATATTCCAGCAATATCACGGCGGGGGACACCAGAAATGGGCTTCACACATTGTACCCATGTTGGGAATCGAACCCGTTCTTCGGCGTAACGAGTGAACGCTTTAACCACTAGGCTACCCGACCGCCCCTACTCACTCACAGAGCGTATGAAAGTATGAGTGAAAAATGGCAATTTGTTTCAAGTAGTAGTCAGCAATTTCCAGCTCTATCATGGCTGCAAGTAATCAGATCTAGGATGAACAAACCAGTGGTTGATAGCATGAGCAATGATCAACACCGGCCAAGTACACCGACACATTATCAGCCAGCTTAAACATACGACTTTTAGATCCTCCTGAGTCCCTCACCACAATCATGGTGGTTGCTGTACAAGGGACCAGCTCCTTGAGACCCTCATTTGGATCTTAGGAGGAATGTCAGGCCCAATTAAATAGGTATTGCTTGACAACTTGTTATCTATTGCCAATTTATTTTCAGGACTCAGATGCCATTGTAGTTGACAGGGATGAAGATCACAGAAATATAAAAAATAATAATAGCACTGTTTAAAGACGAGGAAAAGCTGTGGTATTTGATACAAGTGGCAGTAAAATATGGAGGTGGGGTGAAATGGGGTTTAACGTCGCGTCCACTTTTATTGCACTTGTATAGCGACGTGCATGTACGTGTGTGTGTTTGTGTGGCTGCTTGTACTAGTCCGGACTGATGCTGATTTATAGTGCTAGCTCACTGAGATACCATGCAGCAGTTTAACATGAATACCCCATTCAGACACAGTATACTGACTCCGAGCCGACCAGTCCTTGTTTTAGCCCCTTAAAGCCGAGCGCCAGACAGGGTAACAACAAGTTGGATCTTTTAACGTCTTTTGGTATGTCGCGGCCGGGGATCGACGATACTGCTTGTTACCCTGCCTGGCGCTTGGGAAAAAACAACTGTCCGGCTCAGCGTCCGTATCAGTGTCCGTATCAGTGTGTTGAGTGTCACGCCTAACTGCGGCATGGTATCACAGTGGCCAAACACTATAAAGAGTGATCATGTATATAAACGGGTATAATTGTCACTTAAGGGACCGACCATTTGAAGTTCTGTTGTTTTTAAAAAATAATAATTTGTTGACGAAAATACTGGAAAAGCATATTATTGCTCTAGTTTTAACACACACAAAAAAGTGCGTTTGATAAACTTATGTTCTGAAAAAGGTGTGCAATATATACTGTTCGGCTTATCTTTTCAGAGAAATATTATTTTAAACTTTTAGTGCAGGAAATGAAGAAAATCCCACCGCTAACAACAAACGTGCTAAAATTCCCTGTAATCTCTACGTGAATACCAAGTTGGGTTTACTGCAGCGGAGATAACATTAGACTGACATAGGGCCCCGAAATAAAGTTATGTATAAGGTTTACTATAACTTATTCTGAAAAGAAACATTCGAGTATTATAAGGAGCCCTTAAGTCTTAAGTAGGTTAGTTGGTAATGCGTGTTGTGAACAAGTGGGTGTTCAGGGTCTGCTCCTCGACGCTGCAATATTGATCGAAGCGGCGTAAAATCCTTCTCATTTCTTTAAGGCCGTGCGAGTATCCAGGTCGTCATCGAAGTTTTTGAGCACCATACCTGGTTAAAGACTGTCGCTAATTAGTTAAACATAGAATAAGCGACAGACTTCAACTAAGTGTGGTGTCACACATCTGAAGTTGTTCCAGCCAGTGTCCCCGACAGCTGTGTCACATACCTGCAATCAAACAAACTCAGTGAAAGTTGCATTCCAACCAACGACCCAGATGCCTCATCAAACACAACTATTTTTAGTAGTTATTAAACAGTTATTAGAATAGGGGTTTGTGTTTTAGCGGTTTGGATACAGCTATATAACATAGGGGCTTGTGTTTTAGTGGTTTGCATACAGGTACATAACATAGGACTTGTGTTTTAGTGGTTTGCATACAGTTATATAGCATAGGTGCTTGTGTTTTAGTGGTTTGCATACAGTTATATAGCATAGGTGCTTGTGTTTTAGTGGTTTGCATACAGTTATATAGCATAGGTGCTTGTGTTTTAGTGGTTTGCATACAGTTATATAACATAGGTGGTTGTGTTTTAGTGGTTTGCATACAGTTATATAGCATAGGTGGTTGTGTTTTAGTGGTTTGCATACAGTTATATAACATAGGTGGTTGTGTTTTAGTGGTTTGCATACAGTTATATAGCATAGGTGCTTGTGTTTTAGTGGTTTGCATACAGTTATATAGCATAGGTGGTTGTGTTTTAGTGGTTTGCATACAGTTATATAACATAGGTGCTTGTGTTTTATTGGTTTGCATACAGTTATATAACATAGGTGCTTGTGGTTTAGTGGTTTGCATACAGTTATTTTACATAGGTGGTTGTGTTTTATTGGTTTGCATACTGTTATATAACATAGGTGGTTGTGTTTTATTGGTTTGCATACAGTTATATAACAGGTGCTTGTGGTTTAGTGGTTTGCATACAGTTATTTTACATAGGTGGTTGTGTTTTATTGGTTTGCATAGTTATATAACATAGGTGCTTGTGGTTTAGTGGTTTGCATACAGTTATATAACATAGGTGTTTGTGTTTTAGTGATTTGCATACAGTTATATAACAGGTGCTTGTGTTTTAGTGGTTTGCATACAGTTATTTTACATAGGTGTTTGTGTTTTAGTGGTTTGCATACAGTTATATAACACATGTGTTTGTGTTTTAGTGGTTTGCATACAGTTATATAACATATGTGTTTGTGTTTTAGTGGTTTGCATACAGTTATATAGCATAGGTGCTTGTGTTTTAATGCCATGTTCAGGGCATACGGCAGCGTGGATCGAGGCCGCTGTGATGCTTTTCTTACCAATTTAACTTATGAGTCGGACCTCCCCGTTTCTAAATAGTCCATTGGGTCCTGTTAAACACCCTATCAATACATTACCAACGCTCTTCTGTCAAACTGGGACCTGAGGTATGCTATATACAAAAATATCGGATATTGTCTGCGGTTCTCATTAAATGTGAAAACAAATGCTTTCTGTTGCAAGGCAAGGGAAATACCTCTCCACACGTCAATGACACTGATAGTCAGTCGCTTCGACACAAACAGGTTATTTTGAGGTTCGATGACGTATCAGGTATTCATATATCACCAGGAGCGAAGCAAATGCCAACGGCTCGTATGCGGAGCCGAAACAGTCAACTTTATCTATCAGCAGACATCTTGTGACTTAATATAACCTAGCATCTATAACAGATGCGAAGGTCTGATGCAACAATTGATGAAAGGAGCGTGGATTGTTTTTAACGTCTTTAAACATTATTTTTGTGAAATATGGCGACAGTGAAGAGAGTCAAAGACGCAAATAGTGGGTGTTGATGCTAAAGCTGATTTATTCCTATTCTGTAAAGAACAGAGGAACGTTGACCAGGTGTATTCTTGGTAGTGGCATCAAGGCAAGAACGGTTCATTGTGATGTAACAATTTACACTTTGTAGATGTCACTATTCATAAACATTTATATAATAATTGATATGTAGTGACTGTAAGAGTGCAATGCTACATCGAATAGTGTTTCTGTAATTCCACAACGTGGCGTCTACTATGACGCAGGAAGTAAACATTTACCACTTTGGGGGAAATCACGATAGTAACCGGATCCTGGTAGCTAAGGCCTGAATACTGTTAATTG